TTCAAGGAAGTGTTCTCTGAAGGGTAATATTCCTTCTCTTACAAGTGAGCAATATGCTCCAGTATCTCTAAAGGTCTTTACTTCAGTTGTTTCTGAGTTTTCCTGAAGGGAAATAAGACTCTTGCAATAATAAGGGGCCATACCTTTTTCTACTTCTCTAGGGACATGTTACTAGGGATATTAGAGATTTTCCCAATGGGTTGGGGTTTATGGGGGCAGTTGGGACGGATGTGACCTACTTTATTACACAGGAAGCAGACGACAGGCTTGCCCTTTACTCCCTGCTGACGTTGCAAATGGTGTCATTCTGGCTGGTGTCTCTCTGGATACTGTTGTCGAGATGCACCATGAGTAGTTTGCTTCTCCGCAGGTGGACCATAAGTTGAGAAGCGTGGCTCACCAGGTGACTTAGTTGGCTGACGTAGACGTTCTCCCTCCGGCTGGCACTTCATTCTCCAAGGTTGCCAATCTTCTGCTCATGCCGAGGCTGTTGAAAAGAGAGACGGGACCGCTCGACAAGGAGCGTTAGTTTCGAAGGTATCAGCCAACCTGGCTGCCTCCAATGCAGTGGTTAAGTCACGATCCTGCAGAAAGACTCGAACCTCTGGTCCCACAGACTCCAGCAGGTTATCAATCAGAATAAGCTGCACCAGCTCCTCAAAGATACAGACACCACTTGCTTTATACCAGCTGGTAAAAGCTTTGGTTTGCTGTCTCACAAAGTCCACTAGGGATTGACCAAGCTGTCGTCTGCCCAGCTTAAAAATCTTTATATTTGGCTGGGATACATGCATATGCTCCCAACACTGTGGTCTTCACTACTTGATAATCAGAAAATTCAGCGTCATTTAATACTGACGTAAATTCCTGTGCCTTACCAAACAATGCTGTATGAACCAACGATGCCCAATGCTGTTCCGGCCACCTCAAGGCTCGAGCCTGATTTTCGAAGCTTTCGAAAAATTGTTCTGGTTCGGCCTCATTGAAGCGGGGAACAAACTGTACTGCTTTCTGTAAACTAAAATTATTTACAGAATGCGAGAACTGCCTCCTTTCTCTTTCCCTATCAAATTCTTCCCTTGCGAATGCTCTCTGTTCCCTAGTTTGCTCAAGATTGATTTTTGCCAGCTCAAGTGCCAACGATGCTGATTCACCTTGAGACAACCCAGCTGCATTATACTGACCATTTTGCTCCATAGGTGTATCATCTTCCTCTTGCGAGAACATAGTAGTTTTTGCCCTAGCTCCCGTAGAGGGAGGAGTCTGATGTGCCATCTCTTCTTCTATAAGTTTCTCAGCAATCGGTGAATGCAGTTGCACAGCTGTGAGAGTGCGTTTGTATTTAATGCCAATGGAACGAGCAATTTGCCAACAACGCTGTAGGGACAATTTAGGTAGGTTATGCAAAGTATATGCCGACACCAGACGTCTGACTCGTCTAGGTGGCATAAGTTATTCGCTATGCACAGTACGATTGCAGAATACCCCAATGTAACACTTTAATTTGCAGGACACGCTTAGCTATGCACAGTACGATTGCAGAATATGCATACAAGCAAAGCCGACTGCAAAATTCTCCACACCGAACAGGCTAGTAACAACTGACACGCAAAATTTGTAAAGCAATGCCAGACAGCTACACTGTTCTAGAAGATTGACTGTAGCGAAGCGAGCACACCGAACAAGCTAGTAGCGAGCTGTTGAACGATCACACAATAGCAAGGCTGACCATAACAGTAACTGACACGCAAAATTTGTAAAGCGTAGGCAAAGCTAATGCAATGCCAGCCAGCAAGCTGCACAATGTTCCTGCTACGAGCTTCACCCTAAGCTCAACCATTTCTCTAAGTCCAGCTCCAGCTCTCGGACAGGCTACCCATATTACAACCCAGGATTCCAAATGGCCTGTTATCCCGGATGTAATGGGAGCAAAATAAACACAGCAGAAAAAGTTTAGACTTATATTATCCTTCACCAATTTAGAACACCAATATGTACACTATGTACAGTGATAAGTATAGTGCACTCCACGATAAGCAAGGCAGAAATAGAAGCCACAAGATAGCAGACCGTGCTTCAACCAGCTCTAGAATGGGAATGACAAGGGCAGACAGGAGAGTGGTACCCACATAACCTCTGCGATTGCCAAAACCATCTTATTGGCTAGAACCTGGTCACTAGTTGAACGATGGGGCCCCATCATCAACTCTTAGCAACCTGGTTCGCTGGTTGGGGGAGATAGCCTGTAAATGAGGGTGTGTACATGCGCCGAATAAAGGTTACGTACTCTTTGCATGCCACACTGTGAGACAGAGATAGACAGACAGAGACAGATAGACAGGGATAGACAGAGACAAAGATAGAGACAGAGACAAGCAGAAATAGACAGACAGAGATATACATAGATACAGACAGACAAACGGAGATAGAGCCAGGCCGCCAGCAGCTGGCCAGCCACGCAGCTGGCCAGCCACGCAGCTGGCCAGCCATGCAGCTAGCCAGCCAATCAGCTAGTCAGTCAGCCAGTCAGGCAACCTGCCAGCCAGCCAGAATTATTTCTCTTTACTTAGGGCATAGGTTATAAGACATTCTGAAAGGGTGTTGCACAAATATTGCACATGGATTATTATCGAGGTTTTTTTATATTTCCCTGACCCCTTGTGGCCACATATACCTCAAAGCCACTAAACTCAGGGTCAAAATCACTTTCCTCTTAAAATGAATCAGTGAATCCCAGGTGTTTGCTGCGCTGTTTGCTCTAGCTGGTGCTCAGTTGAACTGGTGCTCCCACAAGGTACTACGTGGTCCCAGATTTTTTTAATACCTCACACACTGAGTGTTAGAACCCATTCTATGCTAACAAGGCATCTCAGGCCAATCGTGCCAAATTTGAAGGCAGGAAAAATAAAACGTATATATACGTTTGGACCGTTTACGGGTTAATGCTTCAGGAATTGCAATGCAACATCCTAAAGGAGGCTTTACTAATGTGTTTTTGTTCAGTTTACTTATAGATTGATAACCTGGTCATCTAGGGTTTTTTTTCCTTAGCCTGCAGGCCATTATGGATATCAGAAAATTACCTTGCTATAATAAGCCTATTTTTCACAGGTAACTTTCATTTTAGTTGGGATATGCTCTCACACACATTGATAAATTGGAATTTTATACAGTATCTTAGAAATTCACGTTTTCTAGAATAAAATTCATTCCTTTATACGTATATTTTTATTTTTAACTCAGACACAAGTATAAAAATGGTGCAAGTAACCTTGAATTTTGGAGGTAGAAAGTACAGTGCCTACACTGAAAGATAGGTTGGGCTGTAATGCCTCAGAGAGTCATATGGATTGTGCTGTCCATGCATTTTGGGAAAGTTATGTAGAGAATGAGTGATACTGAATATGCCTCCATCACTGTGTACATCAATTGAGAACAGCTAATGGGTTAAAAATAATTGGATCATAATACGGCCGGTTTGTTGTAAGAATGTGTTACTTTGAAATTAAAATTTATGGATAGTTATTAATGAAATGTATAGAGATTTCACTACAGATTAGTCACTAGTGTGAAATAGAGAAATACACCTACCATCCGACTTACGACTGAGTTCGGTTCCGAGAAACCGGTCGTAAGTCAAAATGGTCGTAAGTCGAACTTTACTACTGAATATCAACAAAACATTTTTGTAATGGCTTTATTTTATTGTTTTATTTTGGTATTTCATGTTTTAGTTTACTTTTTATGTTGTTACTATTGTATTTTACACTGTAAGGTTTAGGATAAACACTGTGTACAACACAAATAGTTGTTTATTTCCCAGAAATTTTGCATAAAAAACACGGTCGTAAGTCGAGTGGTCGTAAGTCGAGCAGGTCGTAAGTCGGATGGTAGGTGTATTACATAAATATTATAATCTTTCATAGGAAGATGCATCAGCATAGCAGTAAAATATTTAGTAGAAATCATGAATATCATTAATAGACTAGCTCTTCAGTAGAAAGAAGTTTTGTGAAAATCATGTTACTTGTAGCATTTAAAAAAATTCTACTTGGAATATGTATCTGGAAACTTAGATACTGAGACCGTATGGCGTATTATTAACATTTGGCATATTTTCCTACCATGGGTAATTTTTTTCCCCACAACAGCAGTCTCCCACCAAATCGGGTGACCAATCAGAGGAAACATTTGCCATCATTTGGTGGCTGTTTTGAGAAAAAGTGCACAGACATCACAGTTCAGATTGCACTCCAAACTGTAACATTTTCAACCTTTAAGACAGCAGCCGCTGTATTTCCAACCTACAAAAGTAAAATTTAGCTAACCAGTTTCCTTGAATCCCTTTGTAAATATTACCTTACACACACACGCACTCCTACCATCCAACCATTCCTGGGACAATCTCTTACCCTTCCTTCCACTTAAGAAGTTATACTATGCTCCATCCTCTTTAAGTATCTAATCCACTTCAGTAACCTCTCCTCTACCCTTTGAATTTTTTTTTTTTTTGATGTAACCCCACACCATCTTTTAATTTCTATGCTCTGAATTCTTTGCATAATATTTGCAACACATTGCTTTCAAATGTGGTATCTCCACTGCCTTCAGCTGCAATGTTATAAAGTTAGTCCATGCCTCATACCCATATAAAAGTTTGTACCATCATACTCTGGTACATTCCTCTTTTGCCTTCCTAGATAAATACTTTCTTCACAGACATTCAACACTCCACCTACCCTTTCCTGTATTTCTGTTTAAGCTACTTTAAATAATAATCAGACATCAGTTGCTCTTTCTAAATAGAAAAAATGTACCAAAACCTTATCACTCAACCATTTTATCCATGGGCACATAGTCCAATAGACAGTTCTGGTTACATACATCATATTTCATAACTTATTCTTATCCAGTGTTTAAGAGATAATTTTATGGAAGCCTGAAGTTAATGACTCAAAAAGTTTGCTTTAACTTATGATTTGTTTTTCTATTTTTCACAGCATGTTGGCTGAGAAACTGAACATGACCCCAAAGGATGCTGAGAGGTGGATTGTTAATTTAATTCGGCAGGCTAAATTGGATGCTAAGATAGATTCTCAGCAGGGCCATGTGGTGATGGGTACACAAGCTGTATCCCCATACCAGCAGCTCATAGAAAAGACAAAGACATTAAGTTTCCGCACACAGATGCTTGCCATAAATGTGGAGAAAAAGCTACAGCAAGATATAGTGAAGTAAGTACACATATGTTTAGTGAATATGTAAAGTGATAGATTTTTTCTTTAAACACACTGGCCATTTGCAGGGTGGCCCAAAAAAGAAGAAACAACTTTCTCACATATAGTCGCTGTATGACCCTTGTAGGTTTAGCACTTCTTTTTTATTATAATAATAATTCACATTTAGTAATTTATACAGAAGAAGGGGTTACTAACCCCCTTGCTTCCAAAGTGAGAGATGTACACTAAACATAAACATGCACAGGATGATAAACTAGGTTTATCGTCTCAACACAGTACAGCCTCTCCTCGCTTAGCAACGTACTCATTTACCGATCACTCAAACTTACAACTAGCTCTCCAACCAGTTTGCAAACCTAAGTAATGTATATTAGAGCTGATTTCTTCTACTCTGTTTATTACAGTATATAGTACACTATAAACATTTAAGAATATACTAGAAATGTTATAAATGGGGCAAAGGTGACATTAAAAAAACATCTAAAAGATGGTTGACACAAACCCACTTCCAGTATAGTATGCTCCTCGCTTAACGACCAGTTCGCTTACTGACCTACTCTTAGGGACGGAACCCTGTTGTTAAGTGAGAGAGGCTGTATTTCACAGTTAGTAGGGCAGAAGAAGGTAAAGGAAATAATAGGCGAACAAATGCCATAGTTACAATGTATCATTAGAGATGCTGAAAAAGTGTAGACAGAGATGAATGACAGTTTTACAGCAAACACAACTGTGCTGAAACAGTTCCCAGAAAATACAATAGAAATGCTATTCGAAAGTTAATAAAAATCTGGAAAACAAATTAGCTGGTTAGGGATGAGGTTATATATGCACGTCCAGATACAGCTACAGATTATGTATGGTAATTTTGAAGAAAATGCTGTACAATTTATTTTTGGAAACCCTCATATACAAATAAAATACATGTACAGAGCTTCAGGTACAAACCAGATATTAGTCTTTAATTATAAACAAATTTTGTTTACAAATATTAACCCTTTGACTGTCGAAGGGCCCAATCCTGAAGTTGCTCCTGGTGTCGCAAAATATTCGAAAAAAAAAAATTATTTTTTCTTATGAAATGATAGAGAATCTTTTCCCGATTGTAAAGACACCAAAAAAACGAAATTTGATGGAAAACTGACGGAATTACGCTCTCGCGAAGTTAGCGACTTCGGCGATATTTAAAAATCGGCAATTTCGCCCACTTTGAGCCCTATTTTCGGCTAATTCCGTTATTCCAGTCAACCAAACTCATAACTATTTCTTCAGAACTCTATTTTTTCTATCGATTGAGCACAAGAAACTGCCCATTTACCGATTTCAACTACCCAATAACATGGTCAGAAATTTGCAATTTGGCCAATTTCACGAAAATTAAAAAATACGACAATTTCAAAATAAGGTCCAGAATGAACAATGCAGACATTCCTGGCTCTAAAATAAGATTTTCTTTGTTCATCAGTCATGTCTCCAGGTCCCTGTGATATTACTCTTGCTTTTTATTTTGAAATTTTATTCAAACAAAAAATAGAAGATTTACTGTTATGCAGACTACTGCAATACTGTAATAATTGTAAAAATTACATCAACCCATTCATGACTGCGTATTAGAATGGCTATTTGGACATTTATTGGACAATGACATCATTTGTTTACTTTTGAACATCGGAAAAATCAAACATTTCCTGTACTTTGTGCTCCATTTCCAGGTTCTTTTTATAGTAAAATTAATCAAAATCACCTCCATTTCTATAATATATAGTTTCCATTCTATCAAATGAGACCATGAAAACGAGAATACAACCACAAATACTATACGAAAATAGACCACAAAGTCGGCATTTTAATTAAAAAAAACGGTCGGAGTTTTTTTTTTCTCATTATGCACTGCGTGCTCCAGGATTTTTTTTATGTGGTGCACACTGACCACACAGACCCATTCTCTCACATGTGGGCCTACTAGCTTTCTCCTGCCTGATTTGAAGCCGCACAAACGTATATATACGGCCGCGACAGTCAAAGGGTTAAGGTATTTTCCCCATAATTTTCATTTGATGTACTGAAAATTAAATTGTAAAATATTTTTAGTCATCACTATTTCCATTTCAGTTCAATACAGCAATAAGAAAAATAATGCTATTCATTTTATGGCAGCTCAGATAAAGCTTTAAACACTTGTTATAGAGCTTTCTTACTGTACAATGGGTATAGAACATTTTTCAGGTTATTAGGGTCTGCAAAAATATTGACTAATTTTGATGGTATTGGTATTGGCCACTAAATTAAGTATTGGTATCAGCAAAAATTTTGATATCATCCCATTACCATCACTAACCCTTTAACTATCTCATATATAGATCTATGTTATTGACACCTGGGTCACTTGCGAAGATCTGCATTTTAAACTCGACTCCCTTCGATAAGTTGTGAACAATAAATTTTGGTCTAGACATGAGAGAATGAATGTGTGTGGTAAGTGTGCACAGTATAAAAAAAAATCCTGCCCCATGCAGTACGTAATGGGAAAAGCAAACCTCTGACTTTGTGTTTGGTTTAAAATGATTTTGAGGTGTTTTCTAGGAAGTTTTTTATGGTTTTATTGTCTTCTTTCTTGGTGTCATTAGATAGAATGGAAGACATAGGGTGGTTACAAGACCAGAAGTAGTTTGCAATTGGCCTCAGTGATATTTATGGATTGGCGATTTCCCCTACTTGGAGCCATATTTTGGGCCAATTCCTTTGCTCCAGTTGACCAGACTCATATCATTTCACTAGAACTCCATTTATTCTATCAATTGAGTACATGAAACTGCCCATTTACCTATTTCACCTACCCAAAAAAAATGACCAGAAATTACTAATTTGGCCAATTTCACAAAATTCAAGAAAGGCCCATTCAAAATAGGGACCAGAATAAATAATGCAGACATTCCTGACACTAAAAGAACATTTTCTCTGTTCATTAGTCACGTCTCCAGGCCCCTCTTATATTATGCTTGCTTTTCATTTAGAATTTTTATTCACACAAAAAATTAGAAGATGTACTGTTATTCAGATTACTGTATAACTGTGATAATTGTATAAGTAATATCAACACACTCATGAATGCACATTAGACACACCAATTGACGTGTATTGGATGTGTGACGTGATTTGTTTACTCCTGAACATTGTCAAAAATTTAAAATTTCCGCTAATTTGAGCTCACTTTAAAGCTACTTTTAGTCTGTAAACTATTCAAAATAATCCATATTTCTGTAATATATCTCCCATTCGATCAAATAAGACCAAGAAAACAAGAATAAAACCATAAATACCATAAGGAAATACACCACAAAGTGTCTTGTTATAAACCAAAAACACGTTCATTTTTTTTTTTTCATGCACTGTGCTACACGTTTTTTTCTTTTATGCTGCACACACTAACCACTCAGACCCATTCTCTCATATGTAGGACTACCAGCTTTCTCCCACAAGATTGGAAGCCACTAGAATTTTGGCGTAGTATTATAGGACAGACACTGGCTTCAAAGCCGTAATATTACGGGACTGACACTGAAGGGGTTAAGATTGAAATAAACTATATATTTAAAATGGACAGAACCATGAACCTGAAGCTATTATGCCTCAAATTTTTATGCCTTTACTTTAAAAGATGTAACTCTTCTTTTGTAATTGTGTCCAATCATCTCTTTAAATAATTCTTACAAAATAATGCAGGCTAATGAACTTTTCAAAAGTTTTTATTTATTCATATGTGGGTCAGATTATTAGCAATTTATTTAGATTTGAGGGATTTATTATTTAAATCATATTCAGATACAAAACATATCTGACTGTATTCAGAGTAGGCAACTCAAATTTAAGAGTAAAAATGTGCATGAAATATTTGAATTACCAATCATTAAAGATCCATACCTTTCATTTCAGAGACCAAGTTGGGCTGTAACTAGCTAAGTGTCATTGAATGACCAGCAAGTGGATTTTTCCTTCATCATGAAAGAAGACCTTATTGAACATCACCAGTAAATACTCTGCAGATGTTATCTAAGAGAAAGTAAAAAAAAAAAAAAATTTACAAACGAAATGTAATCTTTATACTAATAAAAGGAAAACAAGCCAGTGTTTATCACTTGTACACAATTACCATCAAGTGCAGAGGCATTTTTCCCAAGACTTGTGTTACTACTTGTTTAAAAATTCTTGCAAATTTTAAAATCTTGACTCCATTTGTCAAAATTTGATATAAATCCCATGAATTGCATTGCCTTGGGTCTGCTATGCCACCAAGTATTGCAACTGAGACACCCAAAAGCTGCTGCTTTTGTTTTTTTTCTCACTTTCTTGCATAAGTACTGTTATCTCATTAATGCCTGGTGCCAAGAACTTATCATCTGGCTGGGTGAAGGAAGGAGTAGCTGAAGTTTGATTTAAAATTTTATATTATACCTGGAGAGGGTTTTGGGGGTTAATGCCCCTGCAGCCTGGTCTGTGACAAGGCCTCATGTATACAAAATAGACAATTAAACCTGTGTATGTGTATTCTGAGAAGTACATCTTGATATGTTCCTTAAAGGGAGGTGCCTTGATGCTGGTGAAAGGGCTCTTGATCTGAAAAATTCAAACTATACCCTCCCTTTCCTTGGATCAAATTTGACAGCCTCTCATTTCCCTGGTGCTATGTGACTTGAATAGGTTCAGCATTCCCTACATGAAAGACAATCTCTAATGTACATAAGCTGCATGACACTTGTAGGTTTAGCACTTTTTTTATTATAATAATGTATATACACGGATTTATTTTTAACACCAACTACCAACCACCTAGGTAGAGTGACCTATAAAAAAAATACTCTCTATCCCTCTTATCAACATCTAGCCAGAGGTGTGGCAATATCATAGCTCGGATGGCCCTCCAAACTGCAACATCCCCACCTTTCCTACAGAGTGCAGGCGCTGTACTTTCCACCTCTAGGACTCAAATCTGGCTAACCAGTTTCCCTGAATCCCTCATAAATGTTACCTTGTTCACACACCAACAGCATGTTAAATCATAAAAACCACTTTCCTCCACTCCTCCCAAACATGCTCACACATGCCTGCTGGCTATCCTAGCCACTTGCATACTTTACCCCCTCCCTCTAACTTTTCCAAGGATGACTCCTACCACTCCTTCCCTCTATTACAGATTTATACACCTGTGTAAAGTGTATATATACATACAACTAGTTCACTTTAATCTCTAAATAAGCAATTAAAGTATACCTGACTCATGTATGACCCTCCTGTAGTTGATAATCTTTAAAACTAAAACACCAAACCATATTAAATCCATGTGGGTCATTCAGTGCCATCTGACTTTAGTCTGCATTTTTTTTAATTCTTGCAGTCATTTGGAATTCTATGATAAAAGACATCACATTTGTAAGCACATGCAACACTCAAACTAAAACTATCCAAAAAATACATACTCATAAACTATTGTAGTAATTATACAAGCTCACTTAAAAAAAAAAAAAAAGGGATGAAGCTGCTGAGATGAAACATGCACCATAGTCAGTAATATACCACAAGTTGCAGGGTAACCTATCCAAGTAGAGTGGGAATTTTTGCATGGATTATAGTTTGGCAATTTCTTGAAACAAATTTGATGATAAACCTTGGACCAATATGCTTGTCTGCCCTGCAGTCCAAAAGATCCAGGAGTTTTTTTTTTTATACCCTAGTGGGTTCAGTGCTGCTTTTTTATTATAATAATAATGACCCTTAAGGGAGGTGCCTAGACATTGGTGAAGGGCTCTTGGTTAAAGTTAATGGAGCTAACCTCTCCTTTCTCAGAGTGCCTCCCATTCCCCTGTGTAATGCCTACAGGTTTAGTTTTCCCCTACAAATGTAATAACATGAAGTCATGTTGGGACCCTGGCTATATTTGTGTCCTGGGAAATAAATGAGCAGTTGGCAAGGCAAATGCTGCTATAATAGGCTCATAATTTTATGGGCCATATACTGTACACCATGTTCTTAGGAAGTAGTGGGTCCTACATATGAATAGTAGATTAAACAGGGTTCGGCAGGATATGGGTGTTCGAGTGCACACATCACCCATAGTCATTTGTTTGCAAGGTGCTCAAGCCTCCCCCTGTATTGCTTGAGTACAGTTCCCCTCGAGGGAGGTTCCTTGACACTGGTGAGGGACTCTTGATCTAGGGAATTGGATTGTGCTCCAGTTCCCTGAATTGAGCCTGAATACCTTCCACCCCTTTCCCCACATGCGCTGTATAATCCTATGGGTTTAGCACTTCCCTGTGATTATAATAATAATAAAAATTGAGTACAGTTGACTGGGGAACACATTTTAAGTCTGCTCATGGCTTAAACCTTTCTGCTTTTATCATGGATTTTATATTATTATTATTATAATCAAGGGGAAGCGCTAAACCCGGAGGATATACAGCGCCTGGGGGGGGATGTGGAAGGCATTCAGGCTTAATTCGGGGAACTGGAGCACAGATCCAATTCCCTAAATCAAGAGCCCCTCACCAACATCAAGGAACCTTCCTTGAGGGGCATGGATTTTATAATTACCAGAGAGCCTGTAGGGATTTGGGGAAATTTTTTGTTTTTCATAATTTAATGTAATTTTTAACTGATGCTGGTTAATTTAACTTGGTTTGAATTATTTTTTTTTGTGTGCTCTGTTATATTCCTGTTAGTAGAAGATTGAGACATTTATGCAATATATGGGAAGCTTTATTAAGGAAATGTTTTGCCACACTGGCTTCATTAGTACAATACCAAGCAGAGGAGGAGTTTGAGGTAATGTAATAATAAAATCTTTATTTACTACATGTACAGTGGACCCCCGCATACCGTCGCCATCACATAACGTACAATCCGCATACCGCTTGCTTTTATCGCAAAAATTTTGCCTCGCATACCGCTCAAAAACCCGCTCACCACTCTTCGTCCGAGACGCGTCCAATGTGCGCCCTTAGCCAGCCTCACATGTGCCACCGGTGGCATTGTTTACCAGCCAGCCTCCGCGGTAACATCCAAGCATACAATCGGAACATTTCGTATTATTAGTGTTTTTGGTGATTTTATCTGCCAAATAAGTGACCATGGGCCCCAAGAAAGCTTCTAGTGCCAACCCTATAGCAATAAGGGTGAGAATTACTATAGAAATGAAGAAAGAGATCATTGATAAGTATGAAAGTGGAGTGCGTGTCACCGACCTGGCCAGGTTGTACAAGAAACCCAAATCAACCATCGCTACTATTGTGGGCAACAGAAAGGCAATCAAGGATGCTGTTCTTGCCAAAGGTTTAACTGTGTTTTCGAAACAGAGATCGCAAGTGAGGGAAAGATGTTGAGAGACTCTTATTGGTGTGGATAAATGAAAAACAGCTAGCAGGAGATAGCGTCTCTCAAGCGATCATAAGCGAAAAGGCTAGGAAGTTGCATGAGGATTATTAATAAAAAATGCCTGCAACTAGTGATGTGAGTGAATTTAAGGCCAGCAAAGGTTGGTTTGAGAGATTTAAGAAGCGTAGTGGCATACATAGTGTGATAAGGCATGGTGAGGCTGTCAGTTCGGACCACAAAGCAGCTGAAAAATATGTGCAGGAATTCAAGGAGTACATAGTGAAGGACTGAAACCTGAAACAAGTGTTTAATTGTGATGAAACAGGCTGTTTTGGAAGAAATGCCAAGCAGGACCTACATTACTCAGGAGGAAAAGGCACTCCCAGGACATAAGCCTATGAAAGACAGGCTTACTTTGTTGATGTGTTCCAATGCTACTGGTGATTGCAAAGTGAAGCCTTTATTAGTGTATCACTCTGAAACTCCCAGACCGTTTCAGGAAAGAATGTCCTCAAGGAGAATTTGTGTGTGCTGTGGAGGGCAAACAGTAAGGCATGGGTCACTAGGGACTTTTTCTATGACTGGTTACACCATGCATTTGCCCCCTAATGTGAAAGATTAACTTAACTGAAAAGAAATTAGAACTTAAGTGTCTCCTAGTGTTAGACAATGCCCCTGGTCATCCTACAGACGTGGCAGAGCGACTTTATGGGGACATGAAATTCATTAAGGTGAAGTTTTTGCCTCCTAATACCACTCCTCTCCTGCAGCCCATGGACCAGCAGGTTATTGCAAACTTCAAAAAACTGTACACAAAAGCTCTGTTTGAAAGGTGCTTTGTAGTGACCTCAGAAACTCAACTGACTCTTAAGAGAGTTTTGGAGAGAGCACTTTAATATCCTCAATTGTGTAAACCTTATAGGTAAGGCTTGGGAGGGAGTGACTAAGAAGACCTTGAACTCGGCTTGGAAGAAAACATGTGGCCAGAATGTGTAGACAAAGGGGATTTTGAAGGGTTTGAGGCTAACCCTGAGAGGATTATGCCAGTTGAGGAATCCATTGTGGCATTGGAAAGTCCTTGGGGTTGGAGGTTAGTGGGGAGGATGTGGAAGAGTTGGTGGAGGAGGACAATGAAGAACTAACCATGATGAGCTGATAGATCAACTTCAACAGCAAGAGGCCAGACCTGAGGAAACTGGTTCAGAGGAGGGGGAGAGAGAAATTGAAGAAGTTGCCTACTACAAAGATTAAGGAAATCTGTGCAAAGTGGCTTGAAGTGCAAACCTTCATGGATGAAAATCACCCTCACACAGCTATTGCAAGCCGTGTTGGCAACCTGTACACTGACATGTTGTGAAACACTTTAGGGAAGTCATAAAGGAACGAGAGGTACAGGCCACTATGGACAGATATGTTGTGCGAAAGAAGTCCAGTGACTCTGAAGCTGGTCCTAGTGGCATTAAAGAAGAAGGGAAGTAACCCCAGAAATGGACTCGACACCTCAAGTCTTAATGGAATGGGGATTCCCCTTCTAAACACTAACACTCTCTCTCCCTCCTCCCATCCCATCAATCATCACCAGATCTTCAATAAAAGTAAGTGTCATGTAATTGTGCATGCCTTTTTCAGTTTGTGTGTATTAAAATTAACATTTCATGTGGTAAAATTTTTTTTTTCATACTTTTGGGTGTCTTGCACGGATTAATTTGATTTCCATTATTTCTTATGGGGAAAATTCATTCGCATACCGATCA